ATAAATAAGAAGAAGAACAAGTAGTGTAACACATGATAGACTGTTAGTATACATATACTGTATATGTTTGAGTTGTATAGAGTGTATTAGAAGAAGAAGAAGTAGATGCTGAAAAAAGAAAATGAAACGATGAAGAAGAAGAAAACTTACGGTGGTTGATCGTTGAGTGTTGCTTTCAAAGCTGAGACGTAGCGTGAGCAGAGCAGAGCATAGGAGAGTAGTAGTGACACTTATCCAAGGAGAGGTGAGTAAATCAATATACAGTCTTTCAAGAGTTATAGTTTCAGGGTTTAACTTTGCGCTGGTCTGGGATCTTGAAGTTGATTGACAGAAACTTGAACAAAAGTTTGGGTGTAAGTTGATATTTTACTTGTATAGGTGTGGTTTTATGTTTACCTGTGCATGCAACTTGATTTTGATATCTAAAGCTATAAATGGTATTTTGAAAACTGAAGGATAATCCGATAAAATGGAACTGAAGGATAGGAAACCTGGATAATGATTAGTTATTGGTATATATACTGCTTGTTGGCTAGGTAAAATTAAAAAACTATTCAACTGATCGACTTTGCGGTTCAAGACTTGGTTTGATGGGATGAATTGGTATTTCTAAAAGCAGAGTGCTTCCTTTTATCCTCAATCAACTATGTATGAAGTATGAACTCAAACTACAATATATTTGTGTGCAACAAAGAGGGTTGTGTATCTACTATATATCCTTTTGGTATCAGCTATGCTTATTAGGAGTCTTAATCCAACGCAGCAATTTTATGTAATTTTGTTCATCCAGAGCACGCACAAAACCAAGACTTTTGACTTGGTCATCTTCTTTGAAAGATGAGAAGTTGGCTCAGCAACTTGAAGCAAAGCTTTCTGCAGCTGCTCAGAAAAGGTGAGCATATCTTTTTATCATCATTTTTTTGCATAAGTAGACATTATAGATCAGTCGATGATTGGGAAAGTATAAGTTAAGACGCCACCGGATGACTTTGCCAGTCTCGATATGTGAGCTCTCAAAATGGGTTCCTTTTGGGAAAAATAGTTCACCAATGGAATACGAATTGTGCAGCTAGATATAAGTGAGCTCAACTAGCTCACTGAACTTTTTGGTGTGAGGCATCATTAGTTTGATTAGAAATCACTACAGCCAAAGATTGTATTATACTAACAAGGACATGCCATGCCACTATGCTAAAATCTAAATATCATGATTGACCGAGTGTAATTATGACCTAATAGAAAGATGGAAAAACAGAATTTAAATGTAAAATGACATTAATGTCACAGCAAAACAAAGCCTAGTTTGGTAAATACAGCAGCATAGTTAATATTACTACTCAATGCTTAGTTTCTAGAGGAACAATCATATATAATGATGACCTCAAAGTGTATACAATCACAACTACATATTTTTAAACCTCATGGATCGACTGAATTGCCAAGCGCAAATGAGAACACTTCACGCACTGGAGGATACTCAACCAATGCAATATCCATCGCATAGCCAGAAACAGGAAGTTTCAAGTCCCTCAAAACATTAAAAGCCTCAGCCATACGAGCCTTAGGCACCCCTTCAGCTACAGGGCAATAGGGAAGCCATGTATCAGGGCGATACTCCTCCCCCATTTCAACCCCTTCCTTTCTCATCAAATCAAACAGCTGTGAATGAAACTGAAGGAGAGATAAAGTTGGGGTTGGGGCAAGAAAGAGCAGATTATTGTCATTCGAGAAACTCCCAATGGATGCGAACGATAGGGGCAAAGGCTCTTGCTTTGACACAAAATTCTTCACTGTACTCTCAAGCTTGAAAGGATCAAACAGGGAGCTCGAGAAGAGGGTAATGTGCGGTCTGGATTCAATCTCAATGAGCTGAGTGCTGATCTGTCTTCTAGCTAACACATTCCATGCCTTCAACACCTGGTTCTCAAGCGCAGGATCAAAGTATAGCTCAATAGCATAGCCCTGCGACATTGCCTCTAACAAAAGCAAACATAAACCATAAAATCAATCCAGAATTCCAGATACACAAAACAGAATGAAGAAAAGTGCAAAAACTAGTTCAACAAATTCAAGCGTGAATACCCGTATAAAATTCATCAATAATAGAATCTACATATATATTTTACAATGATTTTACAACTACCATAGGATGGAAACGAGAACGCCCAATCTTATTTGGATCACCCAAATTTGGAACATCAATATCAATTGAATAGCGACATTCTTGATTCTTTAAAAAAATCCTCTCAACCAGATTCCCTTAACTTCGAAAAGATAATTTTAGTAGTCCCAACAAATGTAATAGAACTGAAAATATGAATAGTTTTTGTTTAGGAACCCGGCAAAGAGCATCAGTTATTCTCAGAAGTTTATGCATCAAGTGTAAGACAAATATGATTTCTAATCTTGCCATTTTTATAGGTTCCGAGAACTTCTGCTTTAGATCTTTCATTTGGAGAGTTCTCAACCAAATGATCAAACACTTTGCAAGTTGCGGCATACATGTCTATCAAACTCTCCATTTGAAAAGAATGACGAAATGAACTTCTTTTCTTTCTTGGCAATATGTTCATTATCCATTCTAAAAAACATTCTCAATATTGGTAAGAATTAAAATACTTCTATAAAAATATAAAATTATAAAACTAATAAGAAAAAAACAATTACATAAAACTAATAAAGTAATAAGTATTCCCAATTTCAAATTTCAATTAAAATTTTCAATTTTTTCTTATATGTCCACACAATACATAAATCATTCTCTGATCTTCAATTGTATAATCAATAAATCATTTTCTAAGATTTAATTCTATCTTTAATAATTATAAATTTATAATGAATTTTAGCCCAATTTAATTTTGCAATGAAAAACTCAAATAATAATAATACGTCGTACAAGTTAACACAAACGGACTAACCCTAACACTCTAAAATGCAATGTAACATTTACTGCTTTCTAATTCACAAAATAAAAAAGAGAAAGTCTAAAAAAACTTACCTGCGCGGCTGCGCCAGAACTGGAGGCAGAGCCCAGAGAAAGGACGCTGGACGGCCGACGAAGAACGCCCTGGACGCGCGGCGTGGATAGAGGAACAAGGCGCGGGTGGTGGCTCGGTGTTCTCTTCGTCTCAGGGTCGCAGCTCACAGATTCTCGCCTTCTTCGTCGCAAGCTCTGCCGCAGTCTTCGTTCTTCGATTTTGTTTCTTCGCTGCGGCTGGGCTGCGGGCTGGAATAAATGTTGGAGTGGGCTGCTAATAAAACATATATATATAGTAATTATAAAAAAAACAAGTGGGCTGGGCTGGAGCCCAGCTCAGCTCTCACAGCCATCTGAACACAGATGGCTGCAACTGCTTCTGCCTAAAAAAACCATTTTAGAATTGATTTTGGAAAAAAATGATTAGTATTAAAATGTTGATAGTAAAATGTTTGAGAAAAAAATGATTTTGAAAAGTAAAAGTTGGTAATGTTTGGTAAAATAAGTGATTTTTGTGTAATAGAAAAAGTAAAAAGCATTTTTCACACGAAAGCCGAGAAACACTTTTTTAAGTAGAAGTTGTCATTTGAAAATATTATTTTTAGTTTTGTTAAGCCAAAAGCCGAGATGCGCTTTTTTAAGCAGTTGCAAATACTCCCTAAATATTCCAATCCAACACATCAAGGTTGTAATTGCCTGGGGAGTTACCTTCTCACGCTTGCTTATTGTGTTTCAAAAAAGCTGTTTGTACCCACCATTATACCCACATTTGTGCCTACTATGTTTGTGCAAAGTTTTTTTATCTGAAAATCTCGTTCACAGACAAAATATGTCTGTGCAAATTATTTTGTCTGTGAATCGAATTCACAGACAAAAAGAACATTCATAAACATGATGAGTGTAAGGTGGATATGAGAGTGTGTACAACAACAATGATTCATTGTGTTTTCATTTATATCGTCTTAAACTTATGAAAGGGTAGCACTCAACAAGAGAAGTGTAATAACTAATACGTACGATTTATTTTTGGTGAATTAATAATTATTGGCGATACAACAATATAAATAGGTGGTCGTATGTAATCACATAAGTTATACTCCGTATGATTCTAAAAGTTGGAATCTTCTTTTTACTTTCTACTTTCTGTATTACACAAAAAACACTTATTTTATCAAACATTGTCAACTTTTACTTTTCAAAATCATTTTTTTTCAAACACTACCAACTTTTACTATTAAACACTTTTCCAAAACTACTTTAAAAAATTCAGATTTTAGAACAAAATATAAGTAGAAAAACAAGTGTTTGCAATCAAAGTTTTACTCCCTCCGTCCCAAAATTATCTTCATAGTTACTATTCACATGGCCAACTCAAATTACTCTTAATCTTTTACTTAATATATCAAATTTTTATCAAACTTAAATTTTCTTGATCAGGCTTTGTAGCGGTTTTAATGTAGTTTCTGAATATGTAAATTTTATTTACTAAAAATAATCCGAGTGTGAACAGGGATCGAGTTGCTTTATCGTCAGTCAAGCATCGTAAACCGAACTATGAAGATAAATATGGGATGGAGGTAGTAGAACATGTTTAAAGAGATAACGGTTGTAGGGCACTAGCCACTAGGTATGCATAGGATACATACTAAGGAGTATAACACACATGATTATTCGAACGACTTATTTTTTTCAAAGGTACTACGTATATTTTGTTTTATGAACTCTAAAGTTAGTGCCATAAAATACAAATTTTCATTTAATTTGTTAACCCTAACCATTTCTTTTGACTTGAGAGTTTTTTTTTTTTTTTTGCAAATGACTTGAGAGTTGTTATGCTGCATGCATTGAATTTTTCTTCCATTCAGTTTCTATTTTTCCGGTACATTTGAAGGGCAATTTAGTTTTTATTTTTCTTGAACAACTTGGAAACATTCCAAAATAAGTATATTTACCTCACAAACTTTATCTCCTTTTTTAACCTACTGTAAATGACTAAACTCACATCTATCTTTCTCAGCCGCAATCCATTTTACCACTGATAAGAATGATTTGCGCCTTTCCCAGAGCTACCTCGATTGGTAGCTGGTAATTGAATATGAGCTAGCATGAGCTAACATACTCTTCTGGATTTTGCTTTCTCGTAATAAACAAACCAATAAATACATATATAAAAAAGTCTACTAGCTTTTCCATCCGCCGTCGTTTTCCGGCCCAATGGAGAACAATTATCTCAGCTCCGACGTTCTTGGAGCTGATTTGGTGGGCCCCACCTCGAATCACGGCAGGGGAGGGAGCGTCCCCTGCGATTACTGCACAGAGCGGGCGGCCGTACTCCAGTGCCGGGCTGACGCCGCCAAGCTCTGCCTTTTATGCGACCAGCACGTCCACTCCGCCAACGCGCTGTCGCGTAAGCACGTCCGCTCTCAGATCTGCGACGGCTGCGGCTCCGAGCCCGTCTCCGTCCGCTGCTCCACCGAGAGCCTCGTCCTCTGCCAGGAGTGCGATTGGCACGCCCACGGCAGCTGCGCCGTCTCCGCCGCGCACGATCGGGACTCCGTCGAAGGTTTCACCGGTTGCCCACTCGCCGTGGAGCTCGCGGGCATTTGGGGTTTGGACATCGATGAGAAAAAGCCTCACCAGATTCCGGGTCCGAACCCGGATTGGAGCGGGTTATCATTAGACCCCTGGATGTCCAAAGATTCTTCTGCTTCATTTCTGTTGCACGAATTAGCCGTCCCTAACATGAATAATCCGGTAGTGTATCCCAACTCCGGCGGAAGCTGCCAGCATAGCAAGAGGCAGAGTCCGAGGTGCGGGAAGAATAAAATGGTGATACTTAAACAGCTGGTGGAGTTGTTTAAGAGGGACAGGGTTGACAGTACTGGCAGTGGAGGGGGAGGGGATATAGTGCCGAAGACGCCAAACGGAGATAGTGGTTGGGATGGGGATGAGAATGTGGCTGAGGGAGGAGGAGATGAAGGTATGCTGGTTCTAAATCAGCAGTTTGAATCCAATCAAAATGTGCCCTTTACTTCATTGCTTATGATGCAAGCTCCAATCAATCAGAAAGAGAGTGATGGAGGAAGTAGCATGTTTTGGAGCACCCCTTCTAGGGATCGTACTCCTCAGGTAACATTTCTTGTTTCTTTCAGCTAAATCCATATTATTATTATTATTACTCGTATTATTTTAGATTATATTTACATGGAATATAGTTATAGTTATTGACTATAAGAGCCTGTTTAGAAGCTTTTGAGTTGTTAATTTAGTTAGAATGCATTTTACCAGACATTTTCCCAAAGGAAAATCAGTAGATGCAACTATATAAGCCAAAAAATGCTTCAAAAGTCAAAACAGGATCTAAGGTTCCTATAAGCTTAACCTGATCGAGGCTAATTCCCGAACCCCGATCACCTGCAAGATGGGTGTAATAATAGTTAATTTACTTAATTACTGTGTTGTATGTGGATTGGCGTAATTCTTGGCTGCTTTCAAGGAGATATTTTAAGCAACAAATCTGATGTGCTATTAAATGAAATATTTATGCACAATGGTGATGATACCTTTATTAAGGTTGAGATTGCATTAAAGCTTCTGCAATTTATCTTGGTTCTGTTTTTACAAAGGAGTGAACGGGAAATGATATGTGCAAATGATTTAGCCATGTTGTTATTACTGCAATATGAGGAGGCCTTAAAGTTAATGTGCATTGTATGTTCCTCCATATTTGGTTAGTAGGTGTTTGTTTGACTCTTTTTCACAAAACAAAACCCTCCCAGCCTTGATAATGGTATTAAGTAAAAAAAGTTTTGTTTTCAATTAATTGGCATGCTGATCATATGATCGTATCACAGTCTTAGCACACTCTTACCCAATTGATCCATGTTTTGTTCAAGGGGCTCTTATTTTCTTTATTTCTCTGATGGTTTCAGTTCATCAAGACAAAATGCTGTGAACAATTTTTGAATTAAATTTATGAAGCTGTTAGCTTTGACAGCTTCCTGCTGAGATTTACTTCACTTTTTTGTATGCTTCAATGATATTTTTTCATAATTTGATGGCTTGCATTTTCTGAAAAACTTAATCTGCACTTGTGCAGATATGGGATTTCAACCTGGGGCAGTTGAGGGAACAGAAAGAATCTAGCCCCTCAGAAGCAGGCTATGGTGCAAACGACACGGGGTATATGATGAGAAGCTACAGTGAACTCCTAAAAGAAGCATCCTTAGAAGATTCAAAGGCATTGGAGCTCTCGCGATTGAGCTTCTCTGTCACTCATGATGACATAACAACATTTGGTGTATGTCTATCTGTCTATCCCCTTTTCCCCATAAGTTCAAACTTCAAAGTCCTCTCTTTCACACACTAATTGCAGTACATTATCCTCAATGATTTAAGTTAAAAGTACAACTTAACTGTCTCTATGGTTGTTTGTTACTCCATCCATTCTGGGAAAAAATAGAAATAAGTATCGTGGAAATTGCTACTTTAAGTCATCCGACACTCTTGGTACCCATATGTGAACTTTTACTTTTAGTTTTCTTGTTGTGAAAGTGACACTTTTAGTCCTCTATTGTCTTATTGAACTTTTGGTCATCCGCCAATTGTGGCAGAGTTCAAAGACAAGTACAAATTTCACTGTCACATCGTCAAAGATAATTAAGTGGAAAAATCTGAAGATGAGTGTCAAAAGTGTCCCTATCACAATACACCAACAACTACTACAACAATAACAACATCCAAACCTTATTCCCAAAAGATTTTGGGGTTGGCCAACATGAATCAGTCCATGGTATCAGAGCCAAAAACAAAAGAACTAGTGTTTGGGGTTGGCCAACATGAATCAGTCCAAGGTAAGTTAAAACGGATAAGATAAAAAGTGTCATCGATGCACTAGTTAGACGACTAGAACTATCACATACTCAGAGAGCAGTGTTTGTTTGAGTGATGTATAACTTTCTATTTTTAGTAAAATCAATCATTGTAAGAGTTATGAATAGTCACTTATACCTCCAAAACTTATTTTCAAGATTGTTTGGAGTATTTGACTTAAACTACTTGTTGCTAGGCTTTACATGATTTCTACTTGAACTCTTGAAGATTAAAGCCAACTTCTTGAAACAACTTTTTTGGGACAGAAGGTTCTTCAAATGTGACTCTTTCTTCGGGACACGATTATTTAGCAACTGATGGTTTTTTTTTCCCAACAAAGTTTTAAGGTTTATCAATCAAATTTAGCAAAAGATCATTCTGTCTAAGCTATAAGAAAGGTATGTTCTGTGACAGCAGGGGACGGCTACATCGGAGAGCAACATTTTACAAGCTTCAGATTATGATAAAACAAAATGCCTCGTAAAGGAGGACATTCAGTTTATGGACCAGATGGCTCTTGTTGAAAGTGAAATTGCAATGCCCTTGATGACAAGGGAGGAATTGGAACAAATCGCCAAAAACAGAGGAAATGCTATGCAACGGTACAAGGAAAAAAAGAAAACAAGGAGGTAGATTTAAGTCTCTTTGTTTTTTAACCATCCTCACCTTAATCCCAACTATGACGGGGTAGGCAACAGCTGACAAGTAATTTATAGTGTCATTTTTTGTCTAATGTTATTTAATACTCCCTGTGCCCCCAAAAAGGAGTCATCTTTGAAAACATATTTTTATCCTTAAACGAACCTTATTAAAAAAAGCTAAATTTCAGTTATTCCAAAAAAAAAAAAGTTTCCGAAACAAGTTTAGTATGTAAATTTAGATAAGCCAACAAATAAATAGGAAAGATATTCGGAATATATACAATTGATGATTTCCAAAGTTGTACTATAAATTCATTCAAAAAGCTTAGTGGCAAAGTTTTTTTCACCGTTACAACCTTCTGAAGAAGGAATAAAGATAAGGAATTTCAGAACTGCGATAATAGGTATTTTCCAATTGCATTAACAATAGGATGGTGGTAATTTGAGATAATTAGTCACGTCCCATTGCAAAAATTGATATTTTTCTTGGGATTATTTACAATAAACATTCCAAACTGCACATATTTAACGATGTAAGTTGCTGTTGTCCTAGATATGACAAGCACATCCGCTATGAATCAAGAAAAGCAAGAGCTGATACCAGGAAACGGGTCAAGGGCCGATTTGTGAAGGCTAATACTGAAGTTCCAGATGGTTGAATCTTGTGTTATGGTCTTGATTATGACTTCTCTTAAGTCTAATCTTTTTTGCATTATTGGCCGGGCATGCATGTAAATATTTTGCTTTTAGTTGTAATCATTTTGTAGGCCAGGCTGTAGCTGCCTTGCTCCCCTTCCTTGCATAATATTTAGATCACTTTGCTGGTTCTAATAAATCATGTTATTATTCTTTGTAGAGATTTGTATAAGGAGAGAAAGAAGGGGGTAGACCCAGTTTTGGACCAGGACTGGCTGGGTTTTGGGCTCGAGACTGGGCTATTTTCACGGTTAGGTTTCTCTGGCGGGCCGGTTTTAGTTCTTTTTTAAATAGGCAACCCAGTTATGGTTCCCGGACTTTCACGTGAACCGGAAGTCTGGAACCAGTCGGCCCAGAATTGGAACCCGACTGGCGACTATGTCCACCCCAGGGGGCTGGGAGAGAGAATGGAGATGAATTGTTCGTACTGTTCAACTAACATTAATCATGTGAAACTCCTCCCATCTTTTAACATGTGATTGCTTTGAAAGTTTGAAAATCTCATAATTAATGTGCCGCTCCCATTCACTCCATCCATGACTCCTCCATGACTTTCTTTCATGTCATTCACACACATCAGATCTCATGATCTATCTACACACTTCTAACAAGTAGTCTGGATCGTTTCCCCTTTTATGGATCTCGAGAGAAAATAAGTTCCCAAAACCATGAGAGAATTGTCCTTCTTTCTTCTGAAGAACTCTTTTGGTGCCAAGATTAGAAAAGGGTTTAGGAACTTCTGCAACAATGATGGTTCTACTTCCACCCTTAACCAGCAAAGCTTCATTGCTACCCATCACCCTGCCATGGTAGCTGACAAGTCATTTGATGTGGCAGCCATGCAATCACACTTGGAGTGTGGGAAGGATAGCCGCCAACCCACCTTGGAAGAAATGTTATTCAAGGTGGACATGGAGGAGAAATTGGCAAGACTAGCAAAGCTCGATGAGAAGCCCAACGAATTCATAAAACACCGTATGTCATGCGTCAACCACTCAGATATCCTCAGAACTGCCGAAAGTGCCCTCAACCAGTACCCGCGGTTCTCCTTGGATGGAAAAGACGCTATGTACAAGTCATCGTTTCGAAACGGTGATATCACTTATTTCGGAGTGGAGAGGAGTCTATATCTCCCGAGTAAGATAGGAGGAGAGAGGGTGACATGGTGTAAACCCGGCGTGGTGGCTAAGCTGATGGGGTTGGATGCCTTGCCTGTTCCTTTGTGTCGCTCTCAACCTAACAAAGAAAGGATGAATGGTAGTGATATGATGATAAGGAGGCAAAACTTGAGGAGGAGAGCTAAAATGGAAGGACTTGAGAGAAGAGATGCAAGACTGATGAATACAAGTTCTTGCCCAAAAACTAAAAAGGGTTATTGCGTTATGAAACCACTTACAAAGGAGATTATGGTATGCAATGATGAGGATGAAGTTGGTTGGCCAATACGTGGTGGATTTTTGTTTAATAACAGGAATCTTGTTTAATGTTATTATATGTCCATAATGGATAATCCCTTGCTAAAAGTGGTCCTTGGCCGATTTTGTGCTCAATGTCAGTTTTTCTTACTGACAGTGATTACATTGGATGAAGTGAACCATGCATAATGTGGTGTTTGACTGACTTTGTGTTAACTACGGGTTAAAAAGACACTTTTTAGTTTTTTAGTAGCAAATTCATAGTGCAATTCGGTTATGGTTCGATTTTCATCAGTTCTGTTTCGGTTTATTGGATTTGAGAGATATTGTGTCAAACTAAAACCATTTGTGTTTCGATTTGGGTTTGGTTCGGTTTACCAAAGTGAAAATTATTAGGTTCAATTTAGTTCGATTTGATTCAGTTTCATATGTTTATTATTTTGTTTGAGATGAAATTCTATATTTTAGAATTAGAAAATGAAATTACTAGTCTATCACATCTTTTTGTATTCACGTAGTATTATTTAAATAAAATGTAAAGAAAAATAAAAGATACGTAGTAGAAAAGAAGAAATAAAATGAAATTACTAGTCTATCACATCTGTTTGTATTTATGTAGTATTATTTAAATAAAATGTAAAGGAAAATAAAAGATACTCCCTCCGTTCCAATTTGATGGTCTCATATTTCCTTTCTGGGCCGTCCCAAATTGATAGTCCCATTTCCCTTTTTGGAAAGAAATATGTGGTCCACATTATTTCACATTTTTCTACTCAAATCTCAACAACAACTTTTACTTTTTCAACCACTTTCTTAATCTTTGAGCCCAAAAGAAATGGGATCATCAAATTGGGACGAAGTTAGTACGTAGTAGAAAAGAAGTAATAAAATATTATATATTAACATCTACTCCCTCCGTCCCGCTATGATTGTCTCATTTTACCATTTCGGTCCGTCCCATACCTTATTTGGTAAAATTTGTGTGGTTCTATATCATTCTCACTTTATACTTACTTTATCAATTCAATATCAACCACATAAACCCACCTTTATTAATAACCGTGTCACCTTCTCCTGTCCCAAACTTAGCGGGACGGAGGTAGTATATATCTTACTTAGAATGTTTTTACTTGAATTGTTTTCAGTCCAAGACCAGATCACACTAGGCTTTAAAAGACTAGACTTAAATAGACCAGAACAAATAGACTTCCATAGTTATAAAATACACATAGACCAAACATTACCAGACCAGTTCAGATCAGACCAGACCAACAATTTCAGTCCAAGTAAAAATATCCTAAGACTGTTCACAATTTTATTAAATCGAATCATGTAAAGTGTATTAGGGTTGGGCATACCGGTTTTCGGTTCAGTTTTTATCGGTTTTGGTTCGGTTTGGAACAGGTTGAGAGAATTATTACCAAACAAAAACTATACTATTTTTCGGTTTGGTTCGGTTTAGTTCGGTTTGGTTCGGTTTGAATTTGTTATTTTTTAATAAAATATAAAGGATTTTTTGAATTTCTTTAGTTAGGTTCGGTTTGTATCGGTTTCGGTTCAGTACGGTTTAGTACGGTTTGGAAGAAATACTACCAAACTCAAACCAAATTGCATACGGTCCAGTTTCGGTTCGGTTTAGTTCGGTTTGGTACGGTTCGGTTCGCTTACACCAAACCATTATGCCCACCCCTAAAATGTATAATGTGATATAATTTAGTTGAAATTAATTTAAATGTAATTTGATGTTGTTATCATCAAACATCTTTTCATACATGTAGGATACAAATATAACGAATAAAAGTATGTTTTATTATGTAACTTTGGCATAATGAATGTATGAAATGTGTAAAAGTTAAAATGATATACACTAAACATGTATTTCTCACATATACACTATTTATTTATTTATTTATTTATTTATTTATTTATTTATTTATTTATTTATTTATTTATTTATTTATTTATTTATTTATTTATTTATTTATTTATTTATTTATTTATTTATTTATTTATTTATTTATTTATTTATTTATTTATTTATTTATTTATTTATTTATTTATTTATTTATTTATTTATTTATTTATTTATTTATTTATTTATTTATTTATTTATTTATTTATTTATTTATTTATTTATTTATTTATTTATTTATTTATTTATTTATTTATTTATTTATTTATTTATTTATTTATTTATTTATTTATTTATTTATTTATTTATTTATTTATTTATTTATTTATTTATTTATTTATTTATTTATTTATTTATTTATTTATTTATTTATTTATTTATTTATTTATTTATTTATTTATTTATTTATTTATTTATTTATTTATTTATTTATTTATTTATTTATTTATTTATTTATTTATTTATTTATTTATTTATTTATTTATTTATTTATTTATTTATATCCTAAAGATGGAGAGTGAAGAAAAATACAAATTATTATTGTAAATACTACAAGTTGTTCGGTGTTCGGTTCAGATTACGGTTTTTTTGGTTTAAAATTTAACAAAATCATTCAGTTTGAGCAAATTGTTCTTAAACGGTTTACTTAATAAATTACTGAAGTAAACCCAAATCAAAGTATCAAATTTTGATTTGGTTCGGTTCGATTAAACCATATCATTTTGCCTAGCCCTAGCAAATAGCTTTAGTGTGAAAGGTTCATTGAAAGAAGATGGCGATAGTTATTTGATGTAGTCATGTTTGATATATGAAGGTATTATGAGTGGTTAATGTTAACATACTTACTCACGTTGATAGACTGACATTTTAGGTGAACTTCATTTCTTTACATTTTGATGATCGCTTTTGAGAAAATCTAAAATATAGAAAATAGCTCCAAGAAAGTGGTGTACCAAACATGCGAGTAAGAATTTTGGAGCCTTTTTAAGTAGTATAGAAGTTAGAATGGGTGATTGAGAATCAAACATGCACTAAGTTTTTGTGTTTGTTTAGACTTTAGAGCATTGTTCTTATAGCAGTCCTTCACAATTAAAGGAATGGAGAGCGGATCCGAACCCTACATTCTTCAAATTGATAAATTCATCAAACGGTTGCATTGACACCAAACAAGTTTTGTATGCATTTTCAACATAATAGCGGCTGTAATGAACATTGGAGTATATACATTGCTTTTTATTACAATAAAATCGAATTGAAATGCTATTCAATTATATTTGGACATAGTTCGTGCACCTCTCCTTTATTCGACTTTTTTTATTCAACTTTGTGACGTTTTTTTCTTGCTAACTGGCTTTTGATTGTTAGAGGTTTTTGGTAACGATTAATAGATGAATTGAATAAATCAAGCGATTGTGACACTACTACTCTAATATCGTTGTACCAAAAAGAACATGTTTGAAGCAAATTTGTTCTTGAAACGATTAAAAAAACTAGACATAACCAATCGAGGTTCAACAAAAATTCAAAAAGCGCCGCTAGGATTCTAGAATTGGTCAATGTTTATTAAAAAAATGTGCAAGTTTGAAGCATGTATCTTTAGAGTTCGATTGTTTTGATTGGTAAGAGTCATAATTAACCAACATATATGAAATTACCTCCATATCCAATAATGACAAGAGAAGCTTCCACACACATAGGAGTCACATTCTCTCAACCACCATTGAAGCTTCCTCTAAGATTCAACCCACCTTCCTCATGGCTTCCTAGTTCCTACTATATGGTTTTGGTACTGTAAATAGAGAAACTTGTAAAGCTTCCTATAATCAGAAATT